GGGGGAAAAACAGGGAAAATGGGAAAAACAGGGAAAAATGGGGGAAACGGGGAAAAATGGGGGAAAAACAGGGAAAAAACAGGGGAAAATGAGAGATAAAACCAGGGGGAAATGGGAAATCAGGGAGAGAACGTCCGGCCAGAGAGCCCTGGGAAATGGGGGGAAAAACCGGGAAAATGGGAAAAAAACAAAGAAAAACAGACAAAAACGGGGAAAAACGGGGAAAAAAACAGAGAGAAATGGGGGGAAAATGGGGGAAAAATGGGGAAAAACCAGGGGAAAATGGGAAATCAGGGACAGAACGTCCAGCCAGAGAGCCCTGGGAATGGGGGGAAAAACCGGGAAAATGGGAAAAACTGGAGAGAAACGGGGGAAAATGGGGAAAATTGGGAAAAAAAGGGGGGAAATGGGGAAAATGAGAGATAAAAACAGAGAAAAATGGGAAATCAGGGAGCGAACATCCAGCCAGAGAACACTGAAAAATGGGGAGAAAAACCGGGAAAATGGGAAAAACGGGAAAAAACGGGGGAAAATGGGGGAAAGACGGGGAAAAACGGGGGAAAATGGGGGAAAAACAGGAAAAAACCAGGGGAAAATGAGAGATAAAAACAGAGAAAAATGGGAAATCAGGGAGCGAACGTCCAGCCAGAGAACCCTGGGAATGGGGGGAAAAACCGGGAAAATGGGAAAAATGGGAAAAAACGGAGAAAAACAGAGAGAAATCCAGAAATTTTAAGGAAAATCAGGAAAAAAATCAGGGGAAATGGGAGAATTGAGGAAAATGAAGGGAATTTCGGGAAAATTGGGGAAAAAGGAAGAAATGAATCCTTACGTGCTGGGAAGGTCCTGGAGCTCCGGGAAGAGCGGCTGCAGCGGCTGCTCCTCAAACTGGTGAGAGCCGGGGTTCTGGGTGGGGGAAATTGGGGAAAAAATGGGGGAAAATGGGGAAAATGGGGAAATGAGAGGGGAAAATGGGGGGAAAATGGGGAAAAATGGGGGAAATGGGGGGAAAAATGGGGGGAAA